TGAAAAACTTCATTTTAAAACAAAAAACTGTATTTAATTGCAAATTCCATTGTAATCCTTTCAAAATTGCGAAATCGAGCCGTCAGGCGCTTGAATGCCACATTGCGTTCGAGATTTAAGCACGCGACGCATTTATGAGAAATTTGCGTCGCACGCGCTTTTGCCCGAATATCGAACGCAGTGTGGCATTCAGGCGCGTGCGGGTTCGAATTCGCAATTTCGAAAGGATTTCAATGGAATTCGCAACCAAATATAGTATTTTTTGTCAAAATAAGGTTTTTCAAAAAAATGCGTGTCATGAGAAAATTGCGTCGCACACGTTTTCGCCTAAATCTCGAACGCAGTGCGGCATTCAAGCGCCTGGCGGCTCGATTTCGCAAATTCGAAAAGATTTCAATGGAATTCGCAATTAAATAAAATATTTTTTTTCAAAATGAAGTTTTTCAGCAACATGCGTATCATTTGCGTGCCGCCGTGTTCCCGGAGAGCTCAGGAGTTGCTATCGACCACTGCCGATGATAAAAAACTGCCGACGATAATAAACCTCAAGAGGTTGTGCTGAGGGGTTGTGCTGCAGGGTTGTGCTGGAGGGTTGTGCTGGAGGGTTGTGCTGGAGGGTTGTGCTGGGGGGTTGTGCTGGAGGGTTGTGCTGGAGGGTTGTGCTGGAGGGTTGTGCTGGAGGGTTGTGCTGGAGGGTTGTGCTGGAGGGTTGTGCTGGAGGGTTGTGCTGGAGGGTTGTGCTGGGGGGGTTGTGCTGAGAGAGAGAGAGAAGGGGGAAAAAAAAAATAAAAAGAAATATATTTTCAAATAATAAAAAAATAATAATAATAATAATAATCATGTCGCAGAAAAATAAAATATATATGTTATTTCTTTACAATATATTTATATATATAACTTCAGAAAGAAGAAGAAGAATAGGAAGAAGAATAAGAAGAAGAGAAGATATATAGAAAGAAAGACAGATAGAGGAGGAGGAGGAAAAGCAAAAATTTCAAGTTTCAAATCCATCAAATTTTTTTTAGAAACGCTTTATGAAAATTGAGAAAGAGAGAGAGAGAGAGAAGAAGAGGAGATAATGAAAAGCAAGAGAGGAAGGAGAGGAGGAGAGGAAAGGAGAAGACAGGAGAGGAGCAAGAGGAGAGAGAGAGAGAGAAACAGAGAGAGAAAAACGACAGAGAGGAAGTAATAAAAAAATACCTAACAGATTTTCCATGGATAATCAACCCCAGGGATAAACAAGTTCAGGGGGGCATGGGGGGGAGAGAGACAGAGAGATAGAAAGAGAGAGAGAGAAGAAAGAATGAAAATGAAGAGGGGAAGCAAAATTCAAGAGGAGAAGTAGAAGAGGAGAGGAAGAGGAAAAGCAAACATTTCAAGTTCCAAATCTATTATATTTTATTTGCAAACGCTTTATGAAAATTGTTTTGTTTAAGTGCTCGTGTAGGAGCTCATGTGCCTCACTTTCCGTGGATAATCAACCCCAGGGATAAACAAGTTCAGGGGCGCATGGGGAGAGAGAAAGATATAAAGAGAGAAATAAAGAAAACAAAGAGAGAGATGAGGGAAATACATAAAAGAAATATTAAAAAGGAAAAGGACAAGAAGAAATGAGGAGAAATAGAAGAGGAGAGGAAAGGGGGATAAAACAAAAAAAATGAAGATTCAAATGTATTAATTTTTTATTTACAAGCACTTTATGAAAATTAAAATTCTTAAGTGCTCGTGTAGGGTAGCTCACGCGCCTCACTTTCCGTGGATAATCAACCCCAGGGATAAACAAGTTCAGGGGGGCATGGGGAGAGAGAGGAAAAAAGAAAGAAATAAAGACATAGATAAAGAAATAAAAAATATAAATTAAGAAAAAAGAAGGAGAAGAGAAGAGGAAGAAAAAGAGCAACAACTTCAAGTTCCAAATCTATTAGATTTAATTTACAAACGCTTTCTGAAAATTGATTTTTTGAGTGCTCGTGTAGGGTAGCTCATGTGCCTCACTTGCCATGGATAATCAACACCAGGGATAAACAAGTTCAGGGGGGCATGGGGAGAGAGAGAGGAACCAAAAGAAAGAAATAAAGAAATATATAAAGAAATAGAAATATAAAATAAGAAAAAAGAAGGAGAAGAGAAGAGGAAGAAAAAGAGCAATCCTCGAGTATATGCTTGTTTCGCTTGAGACATCCTCGACAAGCTTCTCGAATCGCTTGAGACATCCTCGCAGAATTGCTGGTTTCGCTTGAGACATCCTTGAAACATTGCTCGTTTCGTTTGAGCCTGCCTCCCAAAATTCTTGCCTTCGCTTGAGACATCCTCACAGAATTGTTGTTTTCGTTTGAGACATCCTTAAGAAACGTATCGTTTCGCTTGAGACATCCTTCAGTATATGCTTGTTTCGCTTGAGACATCCTCGAGTATATGCTTGTTTCGCTTGAGACATCCTCGACAAGCTTCTCGAATCGCTCGAGACATCCTCGAGTATATGCTTGTTTCGCTTGAGACA